GATCACTGTGGCTATTTCTTCTATCGTTGGGGGATCACAGTCGACCTCGTATGGGGACGCCATATCGGGATGAATATCCGCCGAATTGCCCAGCGGATGACTGAGAAGTCGACTAAAATGTTCTACCCATCTGATCAGTCTGCCGTCGATATCGGAGATCAGCCCCCCCCCCGGGGGGTTCCGCAGAACGGGTTGTAAAGATTGCCTTCTACTGCACGTTGATCTTATGAGGCGAAAGAGATCTCCGAAGTGACATGCACTGGCTGCGATTTCCATCTTGATCGCTTTTTCGTTCCAGTAGTTGCGCCGATCTGCTTTTGCGGAGCGGTTTGCTTCCCGTCTGAGTTGCTGGTAATCGTGGTGGCCGGGCGTTCCTGACCAGGGTTGCGCGACCGATGATCTCCTCTGATATCCAATCTTGGTTGCAGCGTTTCGTGGTAACAAGGTTGTTTAGTGCAGCTTTTATCCTGGACCATTGCACATCAGTGGAGTCTGCTACGATGACCGATGGAGTAGACTCATTTACCAGTCGGATTGCAGTTTCATCCGTCAGTGTTTTTGATTTCTCGCAACACTCTAATGGGCCCACGTTGATGCGATTTGGAGGGGTGGTCTTAACACAAGTAGTCAGCCGAAGGCAAAGTTTCGCATGAACCAGCACGTGATCAGAACCACCACTGTTGCCCGCTTCGGCACCGCGATACGATCTACAATCTTCTACTGAGGATATCCAGCGTGACCGTATCAAGATATAGTCGATCTGGTGGGCTTTTATACCGTCTTTGGTGTACCAGGTAAGGAGATGCCTTCTGGGGTTTTGAAAACGTACCGGTTATAAATAGCCGGTTGAAATCGGAGAAATTAATTAACCTGTCACCGTTTTCGCAGCGATGGCCTAATCCAAAATTCCAATTATATGTTTAGTTGGAGGTTCTTGTTCACCTGTTCAAGCATGCCAGTCTCCCTCCACGATAAGTATATCTCTCTTTGAGATGCGTTTTACTACCTCCTGAAGACTCGTAAAACTCGTTCTTCACTACACTGCCGGATGGTAGAGTGGGGGCGTAAACTGCTACCATCGTGAGGTTATTAGGATTACCTTTGAAGCGTGCTACAGCATAGTCACTGCCTAACTCGCAATGTCCAAGAGGGTTCTCGCGTTCCAGCGTCCCACGTANTAGGTGTTTTCTAAGTTGGAAAGGTTTAGGAGATCCAGTTCGCAATCTTGACACCCCGACAACTGGAGGAGCGGGGGGCGCGTCGCTTACCGGGGACGCCGTAACATAGGTAACTAAGCTTGCAGAAGACATAATCACCAAGGTACTTGGGACTAGCTGCCTTGGGTTGGATCATACGCTAATTCTGATGCGCTTTGCTCCGACTCTTGGGCCATCGGCAGAAATCCCCTCCTCAGTTAGCTCACCATCGTCTGCGCCCATTGTGAGGAGAAGCTGGGATAGGAACTAGGAGCACCGCAACATGACAGGGTAGACTATCAGTGCGATCAAATCAGATTAGTGACACAGCAGCAAACTTTGCTTGTGGGAAAACACTGGTATATCTGAGTGTTGCCAACGGTGGCATTCGTTCATCCTCTTAATCTCTTTACAATCTTAATCTACAGGGATTTTGTATCTTCACATTGCTGCCGATACCTGTAACTGAGTTACTGTTGTTAAAACTGATACAGTAACTGACCAATTCTATGGGCGTTTTTGTTGTCACTTCTTATGTGGTCTGAATGATTGAAGAGATACGTGTGCACAATTAAACTGTATACCTGTGGTGTAGCACAATGTCATTCACGAAGGACACAAAACACAAGACAGTATCAAGATGAAACACATTCCGTATACAACACAAGTGAACGCAACACAAAATAGCACAATACAGGTGGCACTCACAAGAATGATGAACGAACACACTCCCGCAGATGCAGTGCACAATATCATAGGGCGGGAGAACACGAAGTAGGTCCGAACACTACGGAACACGTACCCCAATGACCACAGAAGTCGTCTAGCGCCAAAAACGCAATCACAGCCCTGAATACACGCCATAGGCACTAATAGCCTTCTCCCAGCTCGGAAGGTGAGACCACAGGCGGCAAGCAACGAACTTGTGTACTTGATACAGAAAGCAAACCGCATTTACCACGTCAACACATCTGCTTATATGCTGTTCTGGTATCTCTGGATAATTGAGAATTGATGCAGAAAATGAGAAAATTTGCAAAATTGACCAATCAACGGTCAGGAACTGAGAGTGGGCGGAACTGACCTAAGGGGAGCAAATAAAATTTAAATTTTAAAAATATTCTGAAAATACGCGAAAATTGGACAGGTTTGAGGACAAATAACCTTTTTACCTAACCAAGTTGATCATAGAAGGCCACTTGAGTCACTTTCGCTCAAAACGGGCCCACTCTCTATCCTCAGTAGACATTCGTAATAAATTCGCAATTGTATGCACTGTAAGATTGGAAGCGAGTGGTCACGTCTACCTCACCATATTTATCTTCACGATCTCTTTTTATCCCCTTAATGTTAATGTGCCAGTAAACATTTATATAATCCGCTAGATAACTTGTTCATATACAGCGAGTTTAGAAGCACAAAAAACCATGTGAACTTAAGACTTGTGCCCGTTCAACTCATGTTCTTTCACATTAACGTGTCTTCTGCCAAACATGTAGTGGTTCAATGGGCTCCAATAATATCTCGCTCAAGAGTTTACTGTTTTGAGTTGCACTTCACTGTCTGGAAAATCAAATCTCTACTAGGTCTACCGCTCTGTCTGTCTCCACTCGCGTGCAGTTTGGGAGGGAACTGACCCGTGCAATTCGTTCTATCAGTTCTATTATCGTTCTCTTTGAGTGCCGTCTTAATCGATTGCTTTGGCGCGCGACACCATTTTGCGAAATGCACCGAACATTGTCCATGTTCATTTCTTAGGTTATTTATTGCGTCAGAGTTCTGTTCTTGATCAACTCTGTGAAGCACTTCAAATACTGCTGTTAATTCCATTTTAAATAGTAACCCGGGGTCTTTGATCAGTCTATAAGTAATCAGATGACAGAATCTAGTTGTAATTCTATGTTCATTCAGTCGGAGATCGGATCATGTTTGCCGTCACAGTGGATCCTACCACGCTGGGAAGAAGCGTTCACACATTGTGGTCTGTCGCCGGCACGCTCAGGCTTTTTCGATAGCGAAACTCTGCAGGTGATCGACTGATGCACCATCGTTTTGAAAACAATTTATGATTCGTGCTTTTTTCAATGCTTCGCTCGCATTAATCAATGTGTATGCCTATAGTTAGTGTGCTCCATCAGAGCGCATATAAGAGCCCAAAACCGTCAGGCTAGCCACAATTATAGTGCAAGAAAAACGCTTAAAATGCCACCGGTTTTCCCACGCATTATCCGTGTTTCTACGTTGCCTTTTTATCTGGAACGTTAAAATTTAAGACACTTGTCACACGGCTCACTTAACCACTGGATCCACAAAAGAAATGGGCTTACTTTGAATAGAACGCTGAATATTGCGCACAGCACTCTGAAGGGAATGTGACATGCTTTTGAAGCCACTTCATTGATTCCGTTTTGTAATATGTTCTGTAGTTTGCCAGCTGGACTAGAGTTTACAAATTCCACCACTGTTGTTCTCTAATGAATGATATCGAAGTATCACTCACTGAGGATATAACCTTGATATCGGTTGTTGCAAGGTTTATTTCAGTAAACGGAAAACTGGCACATGGTTTGACATTGTTGTCATAAACAAAACGCATTCGGTTTCGATGGGAAGAAATTCATTATGCAGTCTGAAAAATGAAGACCGCATTTTGCTTTAGAACCCAACATAAACCTACCATTTCCCACTAGAACGGAATCAACAAGTTCTTTGTCCACAAAGGTATTACTCTCGTTCACATCGCGTAGCTCACAAAAACATGTTTTTTGTAGAACTGCACTGAGAAAAAAAACAAAGATGTGGCGATGAAGATGGCTTTATCTACTGGCCAATCAAAGCCATTATGTAACTCAGGGTAACAACGCACGGAGATAGTTAATTCAGGTTTTTAGTTTGCGCAAAATGGGAGACTAATGGTTGGGAGGTGGATGTTCAAACACCCACCGCAAAATTGGCGATAATCACCTGAGGGAATGTGAGTTTTCGACTGGAATGCTAGGTTTCGAGCACATGATCAAGGCAGGAAAAAACATTTCGCAACGGGGGATTGTTTATTCTAATCGCTATCGTTGCTTCTGTACATGCCAATCAGGTTTTAACATCCTTAGACCGGATCCTGTCATTGAATAGATTGGACGGAACGATTCGCACATATCCACAGTTCTATTCTTCTCGGCATGTCAAGTTAATTTCTTTGATCAATCCATTGATTAGGTGATCAACGTGACAAGTCTTCGAAATTTTAATGTTCCAAATCAAACGGTGGTCGAAATACACAGATAATGCTTGCAGCGCTCCAAAGTGTTTTGCGCACCTAAGTAAATCTGTTCGCAAACAGATAGCCGTGTGGATAAATTCCGTCCTCTGTACATGGGTCTCACCACGTGCATTTAATCTTTGCTGTACGTTCATGGTTTCCTCATCACGAAGCAAGGTAATTTATTGTCTCTTCCATTTCGTTTCCACTGGCTGCTCCATAAAACGTGACCAAATCTCTGTTGTGCAACTAATTGGTAATAAATTAAATTATACTTACGTGTACTTGGAATTATTTCAAGACGAGTCAACCTGGAGGTCATCTCAATGCTTCTGTGGTAATAGATTTGTGTGTGGGTCAGATGGTTCAGCTGTTTCTTCCCGGGTTTTGAGTTTGTTTCCACTGTATCTTTTATTTACACGCAATGTGCTGAATTATAAACTTTTGTGTAGCCATTCTCATCCACGACTCGTGTTCACTACTTCTGCTACCACATCTTAACCTCACTTATTCGCTAACAAATGGTCCTCTCTGGTTCTTATTTACAGAGGTCGATCGTTACAGTCGAGCTTTACCCTATCCAGGAACTGAGTAAGTTCAATGTAAATGGTTTCTTCCAACTTGGGTATCAATTTCTTTCCTCGTGGTTTAGTTCCATCGACACAAAACTGTGTACATTTGGTTGCACCAATTTTCATGTCCCACTAAGACCTTTTGTTGCGGTTGAGTTCCGAACAGTTTTTTCATCAGACAGTTTATCGTATTTGTGATGAAATTGCTCCCTGTCCCCAACTAGTACACCGGAGATGGATGTTAATCTTCGCTGTGCTATTAAGTATCTATGTGACCTCACGTGCCTGCTCCCTGTTCTCTTTCCACGGATTACAGCTCTGTTGATTGTATCCGCTCCACAAACAACATTTTTTCCATCCTCCCTACAGGCACTATCCGTTGAGCAATGTTGGACAAATAGTAACAAATCCCACGGCCTATTTAGCCAATCACCCACGACTGCAACATACTGAATCACCTCCACTGCCCGACGTGGCAGTGGTCGGGGCCAAAGGTGATGGTCACATTCCACCCAATCGTCCTGGCATGTTAACACAAAAAGGTCCCGCGACCCACGGCGGTTACGAGAACCCAACTGTTGGGAATCGTATTGCAGGTCGTCCCCCAAACTATCCGGTGAGTACTAATAAAAGTATTCATTTTTATTTCTCCCTGAATCACTAACTGAGATTAGTGGGCATTCTTTGGCAGCACTAATTTTTAAATGATCCCTAAGAAACAGAAACACGACAATAGAAGAATAGAGGGATGCACAATTCTCCTCCATTCGGTCCACCGAAAAAGACTTGTGGACAGAATTGATATTGGTCATCAGTTTCACGTGCTCTCAGCTGTAAACGCACCTCTATATGATCATGCCAAACGAAGAAACCTAGGAGTTAAAATGACTTATTTGAACAAGGTGGTGGAAAAGTGAGTTGCTTGATTAAGGTCAAGTTAGATGACAAAATTTGATATACACAACTCACTGGTTCACCACCTTGTTCAAATAACTCATTTTAACTCCTAGGTTTCTTCGTTTGGCATGATCATATAGAGGTGCATTTATAGCTGAATGAGAGCACGCGAAATTGATGACCAGCATATACTCTTTCAACTTTTTCTTCTTGTGTTGATGAAATGAGTAAACGGAAACGGATGTCTCTTCTATTCAGTCATAAGTGCATTTATCATCAGTCCATTGTCACCAAAGGTTTTCAGAAATAGCGTATTAAGGTAGGACGCTGTGGATTACGCAAAAATCGAATTGGAATCCACAATCCCATCATATCTTGATGTGTTCGAACTCCCTTCTCTCATCAGAGAATGTTGATAGTGAGCTCTACTATTGTGACACGTATGCTCTTTCTTAAACCGTCAAACCCGTCGGGCGTTGAAACTGACGTGACGTAATGCTTATTTCCCGTTCGGATGTCGATCCATTCTGCTACCGTCCATGTGTGTGTGCCCGAAAGCACATGTTCTCGTGATCTTGCAGCAAGGAATTCGTCGATAGATAGATTGATAGCCTACTTCAGGTCTGATCAATCGATTGCTCGACGACTCTTGTTTCGTTCCTCTATTCCACGTCCAAATCAGTCAGTTTAGTTTATAGTTCGCAAATACTCCGAAATTTCGATGTTTTGATCACACATTGTGCGATAGACAACAGCAGCTATTGACACCCATAGCCTGTGTGCAAGTGAAGGAATATGTAATGATACATGAGGAGAGGATGGACAGCTTAACCTTGAAGTTTGTGCAGAGCTGTCGCCGGCTTGTAAACATCATACGTATGATGTTTACATGCCCCAGCCAGGAAGGCGAGCTGCACCAACCGAAGCCAATGCTGAGGCTAACTTCTTCATACCTCTACGCCACGTCATGGTATGACCGCCGCGAAGCTTCTTCCAATTTCGCCCGGCTCGTGCAAAGAGAGCACGGAAAGGTAGTCGATGGGCAGGCATACGCAAAACATGACGGAGCCATCGGAGGCGGTGTACAATGATTTCTTCCGTTAGGGAACGACTATCAGTACCCAGCACACGGCGACGAATTTCGTCATTGTTCATCCGATGTTCCCACCAGACACGAGCAATGCTTCTAAGGCATCGGTGGTCGAATACGGAAAGTCGATTAATATCCTCCACTCGGAGAGGCCAGGTCTCGCAGCCGTAGAGCAGAAGACTACGAACCGCAGCGATGTACACCCTCTCCTTAAGGGACAGTCGGATGTCATGGCGGCACCACAGGTGTCGCCGGTTGGCGAAACCTGCTCTCGCTTTCGCTATTCGTAATGTGATCTCTTCCCCAACCCCACCTCCAGCTGTGATTAGGCTCCCGAGG